TGCTTACTGAGAAGCCTGAAAGGAAGAGAGCCAGAAAATGAGTGCATCCCCACTGCTCTGCAAACAAATAAAAGGAAAAATATAATAAGGTGATAGACGTGCACTGCGAGATAAACTGTGTCCTGGAGATGTTTATTCTTGAGGTTTCTGCTCTCCCTCGTAGGCTTTCCAAATAGATGGCTTTAAAAAGGTTTTATCAGCTTGCCGTTCCAGGAATTATGTGGGAAATAGGATTTTTCACTTTGGGGTCTATAGGGTCAGCAGGGAGGGAAGAAGTGATAAAGAGCTTTGAAGGAGCTGGATGCAAAGCAGTCTTACTCTGAAACAAAGTCTGTGAACGGAGGAAGAATCCCAAAGGTGCTTGTTTTCAAGAAGCCACTGGACTTTCTGTTTTTCTCTTGGAAGACGTTTTGCTTCTCATCCAAGAAGCTTTTTCTGGATGGTGGGGAATGGAAGGATTTATACTCCTTGCAGCAATGGTGGGATTCAACCAGTGTATAACCGGTTTGCTGAGCGCACGCAGTGCATTTGAAAACAGCTCTAAAACTTATCTTCTACTGCAGCCCCAGTGAGTAAAACAGCTGAGGTGCATCAATCCGCTCTGCTGAGCCTATCGGCTGGGCTTCAAACAAAGGAAATATAGGTTGGTATAGTGCAGGGGTGGGCGGGCCTAGCTGATCATCGGAGCTACCGGTTCGCCCAAACTGGTCCGAAGCAGCTGAATCCCACCCCTGCCTTGCAGACAGATGGTCATTTGCTTTCTTTTAGCGAGTCATTAAGGCCACTTGGAGGTTTATCTGTGTCAAGAGGGTTACCTGAGTAGTGCAAATGGGTATGGCACCTCCTTGGAACTGTTGAAAGGACTGGAAGTTGCAACTTATTTGTCTTCAATGAGACTGACTCCACAGATATTAGTTGCTCATCTACATCAGGAAGAGTGGCATTTAGTTGTAACCACATACATTTCTCCAACACTCTTTTGTGGACACCCCCCCAAGTACTCCATGATCCATAGCTAAAATTTGGAAGCAGAATGGATGAGCTTCAGCAACACATTTTTCCCCAAAATTTCAACAATGCATCTCTCTATTTTACCACATAAAATATACACCACGTGTATATCTTCCAGAGATTTTTAAAAAAAAACACACACATAACCTTGTCTTAAGTTACAAAGTGTTCAAGCTTCATTCATCTGCCAATATATAGTTATTTCTTTCTTTATTTATTGGGTCCCACTCAGAAGGTTGAAAGTTCAATCCTAGGTAGCGACAGATGTTATTTTCCTAGGGTGCAAAGAAAACATATCTGCTGTGATCTTTGTGTAGGTGTCAGAAAGGGCAGCCAGCCAGTAAATGCTCAGCTCCATTCAGTTGCCCCTACTCTGCCCCAAATTAAGGACTCACGGGGACGTAAAAAAGGAGCTTTTATTTGTTTTGAAAAGGTGCAAGAATTTTGAGGTTTAATTTAAGAAATAAACAAGCTCTCTATGTCTGGATCTCCATTCTCACTCCAGACCTGTACTATAACTGAGGCCGAAGAAGTATTGTGAAGTTGTCCCAATCTGGCACATAGACATTTCCAGGCCCGAAAGTCATTTTTAATTCATTACTTATTTACTGAATATGCTTCCTAGCAGCTTCTCAAGCCTATGCTGTTCTCATTACAAACAGGAAAGAAGTTCTGATCCATTATTATAGAAGTGATTTTTCTTTTTACAAAACTGACATTTCCATTTGTTTAAATCATGTTCCCGATTTTGCAAAGCCTTCTCAGGTGCGTATTATTTAAGCCTTCACCTCTCCCTGGCACGTAAATAATGGGCTCCACGGGGAGACAGTATTTAAATCTTTGGGGTCCTGTTTTTCCAGATCTAAAATCTTCTATGTATGCAAAAAAAAAAAAAAAGCATTCACATACTTAAATAAAAAAAAATTGGTTATGTCTCAGCAGGATGACTCGTAAGTGGAAGCATTAGGCAATGTAAGGTCCCAAAATGTACTTGAGTCACCAGAATGCCAAAGAGAGAGACTCAAGATGAGGCTTGCAAAAAGAAGCAGATTTTATTTATGGCCAAAAACAAAATACTGGATGGGACTATATCCAGAACATACAGATACTATGCATGTGAGGAAATAGTTACACCTCGGGGAAGGTATGGCATTCTTTTATACCCTCATAGACATCAACTTAGTATCCAATGCTGGCCCCCTGGCCCGTCCCTTCCTTTGGCAGTGCAGCAAGGAAGGGGGGGTGCACAGCAACTCCGCTTCTTGAGATATCCACCAGGCATGGAGCGGTATAGAAAAACAAAATAAAACAGAGGTGAGATCACTGGTAGAAGCAAATGGCAGAGGCAGTTCTAATTCTTAGCAAAGCCATTTTTACAGAAGCAAAACAGCAAGTCAAACCAATTCTACTGACTCTACTATTATGTCCCACTAATTCTACCTATTCTATTATTATTATGTCCCTTCAGCAACTTCTATAATCTCCAAAAATTTGTGGGTGAATAGATGATGGATTTTAATGGCTTTCTTCTATAAGAAAGGGGAATCATTACATCTAGTTCTATGCCAATCACAGAAGAGGATACTGGCAGAAAATTACACTGTCATATAGTCCTGCAGCAATATGAACAAATTCTTGGATCTGGAAAAAAAAACCTGTAGGATCTGATTTCTAGTAGGATTTCAAATAAAAAGGACCTCACATATGTCCCTTTTAAATCACTCCTGGAAAGACATCGTTATTCAGTTTAGCTGGATGTTACTGTCAGACCTTCAAGGTAAATCAGATTCATCCATGCTAATAGATGCTAAAGTCATCCATGTTAATACTGTTTTTATCATAAGGTTATGATAAAAGTCATCCATGCTAATACTGTTTTTATCATAAGGTTATACAGAAGCCATGGTGGCGCAGTAGTTAAAAGGTAGAATTGCAGGCTAACTGTCAGCATTCCAGAAAACCCCAACTCCGAGTAAAGATGTGGAAGCAAGCATTTTCCAAAGTTCGCTTTACTAGAATAGGTAAACTGGCACATCTGGGAAAACCCAAATCTGAAGAGCCCGGGTTTACCCTCAGTAAGTCAACCCCCCCCAAACCATCCCCTCACTCCCCAGTCGATCACATGCTCCAATCAATGTCCGTCCCATCTCTACCCAGCCCCCTGACCACTCCTTCTCCAGATGCTGGATCGCCCTGACCCGAATCTCTCTTAAAGCCTAACGGCACCCCGTTAGTCTGGCGTTCAATCCTGTCTGGCTCAAAGTTGAACTCAGCCTTTCATCCTTCCAAGGTTGGTAAAATGAGGACCCAGATTGTTTGGAGGCTATATAGTATACTGACATATGTGAACTGCTCAGGGATTGCTGCAAAGCACTAAGTATATAAGTCTAAAGGCTATTGCTATTGCTTGACTGAATCATGCATGTCGGAATGTGTATTTCCTTCTCTGTATATATATTCATGAGAACCAGGGAGGGTTTTGTCTGAGATGCTTTCTCACATTCCATTTCTGATCCCGACTCAGATTGCTTTTATTTCTTATCTTGGTGTTCTTCACTCTATTCCCAATATTCACATTACATCCATGCAATAGTGAGATATTTTATTTTTATTTTTTAAAAAGTTTTTTATTTTTTTTAAACAAACAAACAAACAAACAAACAATACATCCTTAATCATTCAGTGTTTCATCTGAGTACATATTACTCCCTCCTCCATCATTTTCCTATTATATTTCTATCATACCTTTATATTTTCATTTAGATTGTTACATCATTCTTCCCAATTTTCTTATATTTATATTAATTCATGAATTATCTATCTATCTATCTATCTATCTATCTATCTATCTATCTATCTATCTTCTCTAACCATTGATATAATTGCCCCCATACTTTAAAATACTCCGATTCTTCCTTTTCTTTAATTACCAATGTTAATATATTCATTTCTGCACATTCCAATATTTTCCTAATTACTTCTCCCTCTAAAGGGATTTTCTCTGCTTTCCAATTTTGTGCAAATACAATTCTCACTGCAGTTATACTATGTATAATCAAATAAATATTCTCTTTACTATATTTCTCTGGTAAGATACCCAATAGGAACAGTTCAGGTTTTAAATCAATATGTTGTTGTATCATTTCCTCTAGCCATGTTCGAATTTTAATCCAATAGTTCCTCGCTTCTGGACACGTCCACCACATATGATAATACGATCCTGGTATCTGATGGCATTTCCAGCATTTAGCTGATTGATCTTTAAACATTTTTGCCAATTTTTCAGGTGCCATCTGCCATCTATAGTACATTTTATATTGATTTTCTTTATATGCTGTGGACATGGTTAATTTATAATTTCTTTCCCATATTTGCTGCCATTTGTCTAACTCAATTGTATATCCAAAATTCTTAGCCCATGCTATCATTGTTTCCTTTACCTGTTCTTCTATCTTAATATTCAATAAGTAATTATAAAGTTTAGTGAGGTATTTTCTTAAATGTCCTGAAAATGTTTCAAGAGACGTCGGTAGGCTAATTAAATCTTGTTTCCTCTGGCTATGATGGACAACTCGTGTGCTCTACCCCTCTAAACATCAGTCAATATTTTCTCTGAATATTGCAGAAATATGAAAACCAGAATTCTTCCTGTTGCTTATGTTAACTGGGCCATCTAGGAAATATATCTCAATATCTGAGGATCCAGAGCTTTGAACTACAACACTGTGTTTATGGAAGGGAATTAATGCATTTTATATATTTATTTATTTCTCACTGGGTGAGTAATCCCATCTGGATTTTTATGGCTAAGACGGAACTAGAATTCACAATCTCCAAGTTTCTAGCATGATGCCTTAACCACTGGACCATACTGGCTCTTATAAATATGTATCATTTGTTTGTTAAAATTGTTTTAATTATAATATGGGATAGATTTTTTTCAGCAAATTAGATAGTGACTGTTGTAGTATGGATACACAACAAATACCAGAAGTTGTCAAAAATTAACATTGCAAAATTGTGAATATCTTCTGCCAATGAAAACTAATATATCCACATTCAAAAATAATATTTTTCATCACCAACTGTTGGGGGGGGGGAAAATTAAGAAAATGTTTTGAATCAAATTACTTTTCACTCTGTCCACCTCAGTTTCTCTTCCCTCACTTTTGCAATTAAGAAAAGATTATCTGGTCCAGCAGAGTTGATGCTGTCTCAAACAAGCTGTTTCTTCTTCTGTTGTGGAATGTAGTTCACGACACCAATCTAATTAAATCAAACACATTTAATTCATTTGCTGTATGAAGGAAATAATATTTGCATAATATTTGCATAATATGTGAGCTAATCTTGTATTCACGGAATGTGCAAGATTTGTCTTCCTAATGTCCTGGTATTTTTAATTTGCAAGTGTTAAGAATGCGAACCTTGTAAACTAAAGAGAAAACATTATTAAGTATGCAATTGTACCAGAATGGCTAAAAAGGGGGTTGAATGTCTCCAATCTCTTCTCTCAGAAGCCCTTTGCTTCTTCATATTCTACCAAGAGAGGAGAATATTTGTAGCTCAGGATTGAATTGAAGGATCCTTGGTGATCTCTGAGCTTGGTTGTTTTCTTGCAGAAGTTTCATTACCCAAACTAGATAGCATCATGATGCTACTTATTTCGGGTAATGAAAGGTCTGCTGTTTACCTAGTTTGGGTAATGAAACATCTACAAGAAAACAACCAAGCTCAGAGACCACCAAGGACTCTTCTCCATATTCTATTTACACTACCTTTTTTGAAGTTGTTGGAAGAAACATCCTTTTGGGTTCAGTTCCAAGTGGGGGAAAAGACACTGGAAACATGGAGACTGTTTGGAAAGATGGTTTAATGGTGGACAGGATCACATGGTTTGAGGTCCTGGATAGAAAAGGGCAGAGATGCTGAGAGTACCTTGGCTTTATGCCCTCTGTTGGGCTTTGAGTTTGAGCTTGTATTCTGATTGGTTGTCAGACTCCCATGGGGCCATGCAGGGGCAACTCTGTAGTTTGTCCTGTGTGCTAAGTTTGGTTGAGCCCAGTGGTGGGATTCAGCCAGTTCGCACCACTTCGGGAGAACCGGTTGTTAACTTTCTGAACAGTTTGGCAAACTGGTTGTTGGAAGAAATCATTAGGGCAGAGAACCGGTTGTTAAATTACTTGAATCCCACCACTGGTTGAACCTTGCTGGGTGATGCAATCTCCCCAGGTGCCAAGTGATGAATTCTGTTGCTAGATGGGTAGAGGGCTAATCCTATCTTTCTTGGATCTTGGGTGAGGGCAATTCCTACTATGGCTCTGCCTGCAGGAGGTAGATCTTTGTTATGTAGAATAGACTGGCCCTTAATGGCCTATTGACGAAGGTGAGGGCGGGGGGTCTGAGTTTCTGCCTCCCTTTTAGGGGAAACATTCTGCCCTTTTAATATTTCCTAAAAATCTCATTTTTCTAGGAGAGAGGTGGGTGCTAACTTCCTACAATGTAACACCTTGGTAGTTTCTGTAACTAGCCTTATCTTCCACTTAGCTTCCAGGGATACCTCACCCGACATCCACTCTTAAACCTTGGTGTGTAAGAAAGACAGGACAGTTCACAGTTAGTGTTGTGTTTCTGGTGATTAAAAAGTAAAAATGCAAAAAGTGAAATAGTCTTCACTTCAACACTCTTGCCTGAAACAAAAAAAAAATCAGTTGAGTCAAAAAGGAGGCCCATCTTTGGCCTTGTTATAAGTCTTATGAAACCACATCAGTGTAGCTGGTTGATTTAGTTGGGTGGCATCTATCAATGTCACAGGCAGCTGAGGAACACAGAGAAAGGAAATTAGAAATGAAAACTGATATTTATCTTTTCACTTCTAGCAGAACTTCCAGAAATTATTGCGGATGACAAAATGCAAAACAGAGGACCAACATGGATCTATATAAAACCGAATATAGTTAGAGGATCCATTCCTTGTAGTTAGGGCAAATATATTTCTAAGTCATGGTCTCTTATGTAGTTAGGACACTGGATTGACAATTGGCAGGCTCGTGTTAGAGACTAGGTTGCTGCTGCGTGACAGGGTGAGCTCCTATCACTCACTCCAGCTTCTGCTAACCCAGCGGGTTTGAAAGAGGATGACTGCAAGTAGACAAATGGGTACCACTTCAGCGGGCAACTTAAGGGGGACATGAAAGGAGACCCCAGTTGGCCATCCCCCAGGCAACTAATTCTTTCATCCTTTCGATGCTTCCAACACAAATATAAGAGTAGTCCATTTTTAGCATCTTACAAAGCAGTAGTCCATATGATCTTCCTCCCTGCTCTGGGGATCCATACACCAGCTGTGGACAGGTACAAAATTAGGCAGAGCTGAAGTTTTTTGCCTTGACCTTACTTACTAGCCTGAAAAAAAAAAGTTGCTCTTTCTCTTTTCCATGTTAAAAAAAAAAAATAGCTGACAGCAGGTGCTGTTTTCAGATGCAATGATAGGCAGGTATCCTCCACAGGAACTGAAGCTTGCAGACTACCATGTGGCATGCACAGCTCTGACTTCCAAATGCCAGAGAATGCCCAGCTGTCTCTCAGGTTGACTCCCATCGTCTCTTACCTTATGTGACAATTTGTGAGAAGAGGAGACATAAACAATTAAGAGAGAAAGGGCAAGTCATTTGACAGCTTCTCTCGTAAACAGGAACTTGGTGCTGAAGGAACAAAATCTGGCAAGAAGGTTTCAGATCATGCCAAGGAGCATTTCTTGCATGAGCGCCGGGTGAGAAATTCTTCGTACGGTTTTCTGATATTCTGATTTGACCCAACTAGCATTAATTATTGAAAGCTGTGGTCTTTGCTCTCCTGGTCTTGCCCTGCTGAATGGGAAAGGAGAGCTGCAGTAGTTTGTCCCTCTCTGCTTCAAAGACACAAGAGAGGTTGCCATGGAAACTTCAAAGACCAGGAATTCGTCCTTTGCATCAAGCTGCAAAACACTTAGGGACAACTCCGACCTGATGACATTGGAAGATATCTGGGTCCTCTTGCCAATGTCCCAGCCCAGAGACATGACTGAAATGATTAAAAAAAAAACAAATAAACCCACAAGGGAGAAAGTTTGTTTTGATTCCAGCTATTGAAAAGATTCATTCTGTACAGTATTTGAAATGATGGGCACATCATGTTCCTGACAGTTGATAAACCCTCACATAAATTGAACTGTGAAGCCATTTGCAGACATTTCAATCAGGAACTGCTTCTTGGTGGCATTTTATGAATAGATGTGTGCCATTCAGAAGCTCTACCAATACTAGGCGAAGGCATGATCTTTACAGAGTAGCCATTCATCAGGATGCTAAACGAATGCTAGGTTTTCCAAATGTGATTGGAAATCCATAACTGAGACCACCTTTCCCTGCGTCAGTGATGTCTTTCCGTTGGAGTTTTTCATTCTTGCAATAGAGAATTGCAAGAAGCAAGAAAGATAAACAAATGCACCAGGGGCCAGATACAGCTGAATCCTGTAAAAAGAAGAGATGAGTCATCTTTATAGTGAAAATCAAGTTTTGCAAAATGGGGGCACATCAGTGGTGGGTTGCCCCCGGTTCGGACCGGTTCGCAAGAACTGGTAGTAAAACCGATGGGAGGCCCCGCCCACTGCCCTGGATGTCGTCATTGGCCTTCTGCGCATGCGCAGAAGCAAGGTGCGTGCACAAGCAAAGCAAGTACGCACGCACGATCCCATTGCGAACCGGTAGTAAAGGTAAGTAGAACCCACCCCTGGGGCACATGGTAGAAAAATGATCAGGAAAGCGTCTAATGTTGGACGTTGGGATGAAACCCTCTGTGGAGATTGACAGTTGACACAGGATTGTTGACATTGAGTTCTTCCTCATCTGTCTTTTAATCTGGGAAAATAGGTTGGGCAGACATTAAGATGTGGTGGATACATAGAGAAAGATGTAGCTTTCTTGCACTCTTATTTTCCATTCTCTTTATATATTCCTTCGGCTTCTCATATGGCTGCCCTCTACAGCTGCCACATGGTTCCAGAAAAAGACAGATCCCAGGTTCTTCTTTAAGAAGTTCAGATAGGTGCTACCTTCACCTAGAAGTTCCTTCTGGAAATCAGATCAAACCCAAAACATTGCATAGCCCTATAATTTTTTGCAAATGATTTTCCTCATACAATGAATTATTCTCAGATATATCCACCTTCATGCACTGTTTTCCCTTAATGTGTGCATCTCTTTCCTATGCACTTTTGTGAGTTATACTGTAAAGGTAAAGGTTAAGGTTCCTCTCGCACATATGTGCTAGTCATTCCCGACTCTAGGGAGCAGTGCTCATCTCCGTTTCAAAGCCGAAGAGCCAGCGCTGTCCAAAGACATCTCTGTGGTCATGTGGCCATCATGACTAAACGCCAAAGGTGCACAGAACACTGTTACCTTCCCACCAAACGTGGTCCCTATTTTTCTACTTGCATTTTTTACATGCTTTTGAATTGCTAGGTTGGCAGAAACTGGGACAAGTAACGGAAGCTCACCCTGTTACGCGGCACTAGGGATTTGAACTACTGAACTGCCGACCTTTCGATCGACAAGCTCAGCGTCTTAGCTAGTGAGCCACTGCATCCCCTTCGAGTTATACTTTGCATCACACCATTTGAAAGAGCATGGCTATCGATATTCAACTATACTTTGCATAATCTAATTTAAGGATGTACAAACTAAGCTATGAAATCCTGGTGCTTGGAGTAGATTCAATAACAGGAGCGGCTCTAAATTGAATCAGATTCTTCCATCCCATTGCCTTCCCCTTGTACAACACCATAACACTCTGTACTAAATTAACTGTGACATATTTATCCATTCCCATAATTTATTTTATATATGAGAACGTATGCTCTGTGTTTATGTTTGTGTAAGAGAGAGGAAAAGAGAGAGAGAGAGAGACTTCAATTTCATTTCATGTAAGAATATTACATAATATTAACCTTCTTCCATGATTGGAGACGGTGAATTCATTTCCTCTAGTTCTTACAAGCGATATCTGCATGAACATCCAGAGATAAGATTTTCACCAAATTGTGGTTCTATGAAATGATTCTGCTTCATAGTCTTCCATTAGCTTAAATTGGATTTAGGTTTACATTGGCTTTATTCAGCCTCTGTAATGTGAAAAAATGGTGGTAGATCAGGCATGCATATAAGGAATCAGATTGTGTTTCATAAGCTTACATTCCAATTACAAGGGAATCAGCATATTAAATAAGAACATCAAATACAAAAAAAATTAATAATAATCCTTGTGAGTCATCCCAATCACAACAAGAAGGAGACAGATGCATACTGGAGAAGCTGCACATATCTGTTACAAATAGAAGAAGCTAATGATTTATAGATATACACAATATAACTAATGTTATCAATGAAGCCCTTTGTCCATAGCCTATTTTCCTCCATCAACCATCCACTGCAAGTTTAAAAAAATAGACAGCCAAAGATAGAAGTGGAGTAGGAAAATTGCTAAATGGAAAGGGTGTCCCATCTCTGGAAGTTTTAAAGAAAAGATGTGATAATTGTTTGTCCAAGACGGTATGAGGACTCCTGCCTTGAGCAGAGATTGGAAGACCTTCAAGATCCTTGCCAGCCCTGTGGTTCAATGAAAGACAAGAATAGTCACCAGCTTATCTTTCTTATCAACTCTTCAAAATGGTACTGAAAAAATTGACTCATGACCAGTCCATATCCTGGCTATTAAAATGTCCCTGCATTCACGATGATGAAAATGCAGTGAGTTGCATCACATGATCATTATTTGTGACTTTTCCTGCTGGCTTTTCCACATGCAAAATCAATGGGTAAGTGTTGTGGTCCACCAGCAGCCTACGGAGGTGGTAGCGGAGTCTGACAGTGAGGAGGTTGGGAAGGACCATGGGCCAGTCCTGGAGTCTGGGGAAGGCCCGGACGAGGACTCTGTGTTGGTGGCAGAGATGGGGCCAGGGCCATCTGGGAGTGATGCGTGGACTCCAGAGCCTCCAGAGTTGGACAGCAGAGAGGCAGAGAAACAGGAGGAGCCTGTTCCTAGTGCACGCATGCGCAGAGCTGCCAGAAGGCAAGAGCAGCTAAAGCAAAAGGGACAACTTGGGAGTAAGGCCCTCCCATAAGGCTTAAAAGAGCAGCAAAGGCTCTTGGGCTCTTTGTAGGAAAGCAACACTGCTAAATCTGTTTCCAATCAGTGTCTCTTGTTTCTGAACTTCGTGGGGCTTTGCCAAGAAAGGCCTTTGGCAGGGTGCCAAAGAAGATAAAGGTTTGTGATAAGCCCGAAGGACTTTTTCTGAAGGACTTGTTTTGGAATTAATTTGGACTAAGCTAGGAATGAAGTAATTCTCAGCCGTTATAATAAAATAGGTTTGTTTGGGACTAATTGTGTCTTGTAATGACTAAGTGAGCCTAGGTCACAACAGTAAACCAACAGGGAATTTTGCATGTCACCCCAATAACTTGATCCAGTCACTTTTTCTGCCAAGGAGCCCACTATAGAGTAGGGATCTCATACGCTGTAGCAGCTCCCATCTGCTTGTATTGCATAGCATGCACCCACCCAGGATCTCAAGTCAGTCCTCCTGTGATCTTCATTCCTCTGTGACCTCTGCCAGTCTGTGCTGCCTAGTGCCCATCCACAGAAATTCCTTCCCCAATGGCACTCTTGCACCCTCCATGATTCTTAAAAACTCCAATTTCTTCCCATTTAACAATCGACTCATCCTGAGGTTGTGTTGGCAACCAATAGTGTCAGCAGCACTATTGCTAAGCAAGGTGGCTGTGTTGCATCACACTTTATATGATGTCACTTGCTGACAGCAATCCTGGTCCCAGCTGCCATTATAACTCCAAGTTTTCCATAGTGGCCCTTATTCTATGGAACATCCTCCCTTCGGAGATAAGAATGGCCCCAACCCTGTTAGCCTTCCTAGAAGCCTGGCTATGTTCCCAAGACTGAGTGTTGAATGCGTGAAGGGCCCCATTTCCTGACTATATTGCTAACTGGACACAGGTCTGGGCACAGAACAGAAACGGCATTGGTCGCGTTGGTTGATGATCTCTGGAGGGCTCGGGACAGGGGTTGCTCCTCTGTTCTGGTCCTGTTAGACCTCTCAGTGGCTTTTGATACCATCGACCATGGTATCATGCTGCACCGGCTGGAAGAGTTGGGGGTGGGAGGCACCGTATTGCGGTGGTTCTCCTCCTTTCTCTCCAACCGGTCGCAGTTTGTGTTGGCAGGGGGGCAGAGGTCGACCTCGAGGCCTCTCATTTGTGGAGTGCCGCAGGGATCGGTCCTCTCGCCCCTTCTGTTCAACATTTATGTGAAGCCGCTGGGCGAGATCATCCGTGGCTTCGGGGTGAGATACCATCAGTACGCTGATGACACCCAGCTGTACATCTCCACCCCAGGCCACCCCAACGATGCCCTTGAAGTTATGTCTCAGTGCCTGGAGGCTGTGCGGATCTGGATGGGGAGGAACAGGCTCAAGCTCAACCCTTCCAAGACTGAGTGGCTGTGACTCCATCACTGACTATTGGGGGCGAGTCCTTGGCCTCCACAGAAAGGGCTCGCAATCTGGGAGTCCTCCTGCATATGCAGCTGTCCTTGGAGGAACATCTGACGGCTGTAACCAGGGGGACCTTTTATCAGGTTTGCCTGATTCACCAGTTGCGGCCCTTTCTTGATCGGGATTCCCTGTGCACAGTCACTCATGCCCTCGTCACCTCTCGCCTTGACTACTACAATGCTCTCTACATGGGGGTCCCCTTGAGGGGCACCCAGAGGCTCCAGCTGGTCCAGAACGCAGCAGCGCAGATAGTGATGGGAGCAGCATGGCGCTCCCATGTAACACCGCTCCCGCGCGAGCTGCACTGGCTCCCGGTGGTCTTCCGGGTGCGCTTCAAAGTGTTGGTTATCACCTTTAAAGCGCTCCATGGCATAGGGCCTAGCTATCTTCGAGACCGCGTGCTGCTACCGACGACCTCCCAGCGACCCGTGCGCTCCCACAGAGAGGGCCTCCTCAGGGTGCCATCAGCCAATCAATGCAGGCTGGTGACACCCAGGGGGAGAGCCTTCTCTGTGGGGGCACCTACCCTCTGGAATCAGCTGCCCCCAGAGATAAGGAGAATCCAAGACCTCAGTGCCTTCCGCCGTGCCCTTAAAACCCACTTTTTCCAGCAAGCCGGGCTGGCTTAGGAAGAAATTTTTTAAATTTTTAAATGTTTAATTGGTTTGTGGTTTTTTTTAAATTTTGGGCCAAATTTATATAGATTTTAATTGTTTTTAATATTTGTATTTCATGTTTTTAATTCTGGCTGTGCACCGCCCTGAGTCCTCAGGGAGAAGGGCAGTATATAAATTGAAAATAAATAAATAAAAAATTAAAAAATAAAAATAAAAACTGGCCAAGTGTCTTGCTCCTATGTATATTTTTAGTGTTTTTATTGTTTTGAAATGTTTTTAGCATATGTAAGTGTAATATATTTTTTGAAGAGTGCTCAGAGTCATTGACTGAGATGGGCAGCTATAGAAATTGAATGAATGAATGAATGAATGAATGAATGAATGAATGAATGAATGAAGTTGGTTAGCTAGTTAGATAGACAGACAGACAGATAGACGATAGACGATAGACGATAGACGATAGACGATAGACGATAGACAGACAGACAGATAGATGATAGATGGATAGATAGATAGATAGATAGATAGATAGATAGATAGATAGATATCGTGTTTTCCCGAAAATAAGACCCTGTTTTATATATTTTTTTGCACCCTGAAATAAGCACTTGGCCTTATTTTTGGGGAAGTCTTATTATTTTAGGGTGCAAGAAAGGGCTCTTCTTGCAGTCTTACCTCTATCTCCCTAACCCTAACCAGAAGAAATGGTGGGGACTGGCTGTGCATGCGTTTAAATATTTTCGGGGAAGGCTTATTTTAATGCATGCGCTCAAAAGCCCAATTGAGCTTATTATCAGGGGATGTCTTATTTTAGGGGAAACAGGATAGATAGATAGATAGATAGATAGATAGATATTTGTTCAACTTGTATGCCGCCTTTCTCCGAAGACTCAGGCAGCTTACAATGCATTAAAAACCAGATATAAAAACATTAAACATTAAAACATTAAAAACAATTAAAAACAATTAAAACTCATTCACACCATTCACGGCCGGATCTCGCCAGATAGATAGATCCAGGAGAGGATCTTATTAAAGGGAGTCTGTAATAATTTTTACTGGTGGTACCAATTGCAAATGACACCAAATTGAGTAACATAGCTAATAGTCTAGAAGACAGAAATAAAATTCAAAACAGTTTCGATCGTTTGGAGAAATGGGATGAAAGTGGCAAATTACCCATAATGGAGAGAAGTGCAAAGTTTTTCAATTAGGAAACAAAAATCACTTGCACAAGTAAAGGATTTGAAATAGTTAGCTTGAAAAAGGTTTTGGAATAGCAGTTGATGATAAACACAGAGTCTGGGCTGACAACTAAGTGTAGCTGTGAAAAAAGGCAAAGTGTGTTTTAGGCTGTATCAACAAAAACGTAATATCCAAATCAAAGAAAATAACTATTCCACCTTATTCTGCTTTGCTCCGATCCTACATCAAGCGTTGGGTGCAATTCTGCATGTGACACTTTTAGAAGGATTCAGAGACAAGTTCCAAAGAGGACAATCATTGCGGGAGGAGAAATCAAGCTGAATCCCACCATTGAATCAGTTACATGGTCCAGTCCAGGCGCTGTCTGGTGGTGTGGTAACATCACCCCTCCTTCCTCCGACCAGGTGTGAGAACGTCCTTGATTCCCAAGAGAAAGTATTTTATTTTGACTACACAACCCCAGCTATCTCTAATCCCCCCCTCCCTATCCCTCAGCTCCAGTGTGGCAGCACTGAAAGCTCCAAGACGGCTTCAGCCAAGCCAGCTTCAGGGTTGACAAGGAGATTGAGAAGCCCTAACTACACTCCCCTGTAGGACCAGCCTTGTTAACAACCTTATCAACGTTTTAAAAAAGCCACAAGGGAAAGTGTCTGGCAAGGCATTAACATGTACAAAGGCCATCCTTTCACACCCTCTGCACATTGTAATTTGAAATAATTGGAAGCTTTTAGTTTTCAGGCTTTCGAGCTCCTTGTGTTCGAACTCATTAATTTCTTACCCTTCTCTCTTCCTGCCCACCCTGCCTCTACCCATTCTTATTTTGGATCATTTTTAAACATCGGTTTTATTTCTGAAAAGCTAAGGAAAACGCGGCATACATGGATGGCCTATTATGGGTGGTGACAATGGTCTATCCAGCAATACAGAATTTTTTAAAAAAAAGATATTTGAAGAAATGACACGTTTTTTATATTATGAGATATTATCTTTCCATTATTTTGTGAAAGCTAACTTTAATATGTGCCTAAAGCAATATTCGTGATCCTACTTTTGTTTTTTTTCCCCCCAAAGATGAAGATTTCTTTTTTCTTTTTTAAATGGAATGAAAACTATAATATTCAATTCTTTGGGGGTGAATTGCTTTCTCTTTCTTCCATGTTACTAATAATAATATCATTAATAATGTCCCCTTGCTGTTCAAATTGCTTCTCTAACGTCTACAGTGAAATAAGCAATATGTTATGCGATATCAAAGTAGCCAAAGACCATTTTAGTTTAAGATCGTATCAGAAAATCACAGAATCTGAAGGTCAAATTCTCGCTGGTTTTTGTGACCAAAAAGGCTTTTATTCCACTTTTGTAAAAGAGAAAACAAATTTGGGGTAAAGTGGTTTAGGAAAACCCTAACCCGCTCCCTGCGACAGTGGCCCTGATTTAAATTAAATCCTATGTTGTTCCTTATAAGTGGATGTGACAATGGCTTAGCGGTTAAAGAAGCTGAGCTTGTGAGTTGGAAAGTTGACAGCCTGGGTTCAAGACCAAAGCACTGCATGGTTGGGTGAGCTCCTGTTACCATGTTTTCCCCAAAATAAGACCCTGTCTTATATTTTTTGCCACCAAAAAGGCACTAGGTCTTGTTTTCAGGGGTGGGATGTCATCCATTGACTCACCTCACTTGCGTGCATTGCCCCCAGCCTCCTTTTCACTGTCAGAGGCCTTCAGGAACTTCTTCGGCTTCGGATAGTTGCAGCCAGGCCTCGCACATCTCAGCCCATTTCTTCTGCAGTCAGCAAGGTTTTCCCGAAGGCCTCTGTAGCCGATAACAGAGCTCCGGATCGATCAGGAGCTCTGTTATCACCTACAGAGGCCTTCAGGAAAGCCTTGCTGGCTGAAGAAGAAATGGGCCAAAGTGTGCAAGGCATGACTGCAACTATCTGAAGGTAAATAGTAGGGTGGCTCCACCACCCCCATCCTACCCTAGCTTAATTTTTATCCATGCACCATGAAGTGGGCAGGGTCTTAATTAGGGCTTATTTTTTGGGGTAGGGCTTATATTGGGCGCACGAGTAAAAATTAAGCTAGGACTTACTTTCGGAGTAGGTCATATTTTCAGGGAAAACACGGTACTTGCTCCAGCTCTTGACCACCTAGCAGTTCAAAAGCATGCAAATGTGAGTAGATAAATAGGTACCACTTTGGTGGGAAGGTAACAGCATTCCATGCACTTCAGTCATGGTGCATGCCAGCTACATGACCATGGAAATGTCTTCAGGCAATGCTGGCTCCTTCGGCCAAGAAAC